TCAGAAAACTTAGTTCCAAAATTCTCATCACAGTCAATTAAAATGCAATTAAAGGACATGTATAGTTTCAGTAACATGATGTCTACATTTTATCTTCAGAAAGTATATGTTAATGATGCTTGTATCAAGATTTCAAAGTTTGAGAAAACTTACCTCTTGAAGTGAAAACTCAGAACGCGTATGGATGCCTCCAGGTGCAAATAAATGATGCCAAAAGCTCGCTAGGACATCCCTGAACGTGTTCCAATGCTTATATTTCCTTGATGCTTAATGAATCATCCTCCCCAAATCAATATGCAGAGTTCGGGTTTGAGAATGGAAGATAATGATGGAGATGTTCCAGAAGTTGTTCAGTTGTTTAGACAACTTCTATATGAGGTACCTAAGGTGTTTGAATGATAAAAGAGGAAAACGCACGAGTGAATTTAAAGTTGGGTGTTAGAAGCTTCAAATGTGCAACAATGGTGGATTTTGAGAAAATTTTCATGTCTTGAGTTCTGTGGCATGGAGACTTATTTATAGAGGTTGCAAATGGTCCCTCTAACTTGTAGAAATCAAGCCCAATTCATATGGGAGTATGGTTTGGTCATTTGGTTTGAAAATGCACAAAAAAGCATGTTGCTTCATGATGAAGAAAGGGAGTGATTCAAGTGATTTGCCATGCTTTTGCTGACCTCTAGAAGTCGATTCTGATATTGAGATTTTGTGTGATCTGATTAGGAGCAAGTTACAATCTTAAGTGAGGAGTTGTTGACATAAAGCTTGCTTTAGCAAAGAGGCAAAGTGACTTTATGCAAATTCATCTAAGAATGGCATCAAGACTTGGACAAAACTTTAGATCCTTGTGTGATACACTTAGGGCCTGTGTAATTACTTAATTATGGAGAGATTTAGAGATAACATAGCTTAAAAAGAGAGATCTTGTAGCTTTGGTTGGATTTTTGGCCATAAGTTCATCAAAAAATGACTTATGATTCAAGTTTGAATGGTCAACTTCTTCTCTTCGAATCTCCTTGCTCAAGTATGAGAAATTCATGCTCTTGGATATTTTGAAAAGCTTGAAATATTGTCTACAACTTTCATGTTGAACACTTTTGTTGAATAAATTTGGATCTTGGTGAGAAATGGCCATGAAGTTGGTCACTTTTTGATGTCAAAACTGTTTGATAAATTTCTCTAAGTGTTGGCAGAATTTCACATGCTGATATCTCTTGATTTGAGCAATTTTTGGAGATCAACTCTCATTAACAAAGTTGTAGAACTTTTCATTCCCTACAACATTTATGTTGAAATTTATTGCTTAATCAATTTGGATCTTAGTGAAAAATGGTCATAAAGTAGTGACTTTGTTAAGAACAAAACACTTAGAAATTTTTCTAAGTGTTGGAAAATTTTCCAACTTTTGACTTTTGTTGACTTTTTTCTTGATTTTCTTGAATTTGTTGATTCTTGATGATCAAAATTGATAATTTTGAATATTTTGATAATTTTTTATTTTGAATTCCAATGTTGACCAAAAAGTCAAAGTTTGTCTTTTGTATGATTGTTGACTTTTTATCAACTGATTTAATTCTTCAACTATCAATCACTTGTATCTTTGGAAATGTCTTGAGCCATGTAATTAGGTCAAGATGTTGTATTTTAGCCCTTGATATCATGCTTTAAGCCATTAGGTCATGCACTAGGCCAAAAGTAAATGATCAGTCATCTTCAATCAAACTCTAATTTGGCAATTTTTGACCTTTGATGATTTGAGGGCTTTCTTTGAGGAATCATGATCAATCCTTGATCAAATGATGAATATCACCTCAAAATATTGATGTCGACAAAAAATCTTGAAGTTTGATTGTATGTTGACCATAGTTATCTTTTTACCTAATACAATTGACTTTCAATCTTTTGAGCCATTGACTGAGAAAATATGTGATGCAAGACTTGAAGCTTGACATGATCATTATTGAGGACCCATGAAAGTAATTTGAGACCCTTGCAATCCAATCTTCCTTGAGAAGCACAAAAATCCTAGTTGTATACCCTTGCTTAGGAGAAGGTTTGACCAGTCAACTCTTGAGTAGCTTTGAGTATTTGAGACCTTTGTGAGCATGTTTTGAAGAAAATAGGAGGAAAAATTTTGGGGTACAACATTATGCATTACTTATTATTATATATTTCTATAATAATGTGAATTATAACCCTTCTGTTGGAATGATGTTTTATACGATATCATTCAGGTACCAAAGATAGTTGTGTTTCTTGCGAGGATTAGTCGGGGGAACTAATTTTATGTTATCTGTATATAGGTAATGAGTCATGCTCTGGTTATGTATCACGGGGAAACGTTTGAACTCATGTTGTTTCAAGAGATGTTTGATATACTCTATTTTATTTTATATTGTATTTGAGATTATGTGATGAGTGGCATTTAGTGCCTAATATTTTAATACATTATTTCTATTATGAGATTCAATTATTATTTTAATTTGTTGTGATATGCATGTGTTAGTATATGGAACATGATTTTAAATGTGTGTTATGAGCACGACTAGTGTATTTATTTTGGTTTTTGAAATATATGTGACGTCCTCTTTTGATATGCATGTTAATTTATTTTGATTATGCCATATTATTACATGAGGGTTTAGAGGGTGTTGCACCTACTTTTGTGGAGATATGGCACGCAAAGATATCATCATTTCATCTTTCAATCAGTGAGATGTCCATCATACTTATGATGTGTCATATTTCCTATATCTTTCGATCAGGGGAAGATTATTAAACTACTCCATATGAAGTAGACTTTAGTCATTGGATATGACGGTAACCTATTTGAGAGTTGGCCCAAGTGATGCTCAAAAGAAGATAGATGATACTAGAGGATGTCATGCCAAATTTTCATTCTTGGAGACGTTGTTTACAGACGACCTAGTCGCGGCAATGGAGGCTGATGGTGATGATGCACGAGATATGTATCATTGAGGATTTGAATTAAGGGTATACCTCATGTTTTTGGTTGGCACGTCCATATTTGTGGATAAAAGTGCAACATATGTCAATGTCATTTATCTTAGATACTTCATTGACTTGAAGAGAATTCATGGGTTCAACTAAGGGCCTCTTATTTGGTATATCTCTATCCAAGTTAGGTGAAGCTTGCATATGAAAGACTAGACAATTAATGGGAAACAATTGTCTATTTACGATAATATTTTCACCTTTACTGTTACTAATATTTCATAATACTTATGCTACTTTATTACTAATATTTCATCTGAACCTTTTCTCAGACAAGGACCAACACTTTCCATGTCTCTCCAACTAGGCAGGTGTGGAAGACTACTCTGAGGATTTTTCATGTGCTTTCTTCATCATCTCACTCAGAGGGAATCAAACAATCGATCCATTTCGAGTTTATCTTGACCACATCACGACATATCATATTTGTTTCATTTATATGTCAATCACCATCAGACACGTCCCTTGAATGTGCTAGCCTTCTGCTCATACTAGCTCGCTTATGGGTCATGACTGATGTATCCATATTTACCTTAGCAAGTTATGCGGAAATTCGAGTATATGCATGGTATTCCTAGAGCCTCCATCGTGTCTACTCCTTCTATTATCACCGCAGAGACATTGATGTTAATTTGAGGTGTTTTAAGATCATCTAGTCCCAGAGCATGTACGTCGTGTGCCATCTCTTCAGTCGTGCAGTGTGATATACAATTATATTTAATGGTTTTATAGAGTGTCACATCCTTACATGACACTATATGTCGAGAGAAATCTATCGAGGCCTACTCATCATGGAATATTAGAAGACGAGTATATTAGGACGGACGAAGTCGTTTATGTGTTGTCGATCTGTAAGTGTACAGTAGCCATTAAAAGAGTGAGCATAGAGAGAGTAGAGTTTGAGGAAGGCACTCTCGGTATGGTCATTATACATGTCATGATAGCCGAGACACGACATACCTTGCAATACTATAGACAAAGGAAGAATCGTCGAGTCAGATATACTCCGCAGTTGTTTTTTCTTTGTATTTTGATCATAACATTTTGATAGTTTGTATTTTGTGAACAATGATTATTTTGATAACAAATGATATATGTGGGGAACACCCTTACCACCATTTTAACTTAAAATATGATATTTTTATTGAATGACAAATATTTATGATTTAATTAAATAATATTTATATATACATTGTATATGAGGTTTATTAAAAAAAAATTAAAAAATTTCCTGTCAAGTAACGTACTATCCTAAGGTTGGATTAGGATTTTGTTATTTGAACCCACCCCTGGATTTATTCACAGATTAATATCTGAATTAATTTTAGAATAATAGAGGTGCCTCTTTAATGAAGTCTTTTTTTTAAAAAATAGGCGTGTTCAATCTTCCAATGTTGCTAAGGGCATTTTTTAGTTTCATAATGTGTGTGATAACCCTATTAAGATGGGAAGAGCAATGCCCAATATTTTTATCATAAATGTTTAGCTAATACACACATTAAAATATAAGAATAGTTTAGTGCTTGAGGTGAAAAGTTGAAGAGTGGAGTGATCAAAGATCGAGAATTGCATTTTGATATCTAAAGATGAGTGCGTAATTTCTTTTTTATGCTACCTAAAATTGGGTTTAAGTGATTAAATAGATTGACAAGTTTCAAAAATTAACTTAGGGAAAGTAATTGATAATAAATCACTTAAAACTGTAACAAAACCCACTCAAAGTACCAGATTGTGGGATAAACCTATTTGATTGGGAAAGTGAAGGAAGAAAATTTGAAAAATAGTTTTAAATCGATTTGTTCGATTCAATTTTTAGAAGGGAAAGAGAGGGGAGAAATCTCTCTGGACCTTTTTTTAAACCAACTCCACTCCTTTCAAAGGAACCAAAGAGAAGACAACAGAAAAATGAAAGCATCTTATTGTTTTATAATTATTGATTAGACTAAGAAAAAAATCATTTAAAAAAAAATAATCTTAACAAAAAGAAATCGAAATTGGTCTTATTACCATCGATTTTCACTGATTTATGATCAATTTGACCGGCTCTTGCCAATTCTAAGATTAATGTTTAGCAGTAAAAGAACCAAACATCTCACCAGTTCCTCATTCAATCGATTAAATGGTTACATAATCCAAGGTATGGGAATTACTATGTTCTCATATAAAAATAAACTATACAAGTTCGTAAGCTTATACAACACCAATTTAACACGTGCAAACGTAGATCGATGCAACCATAACTATTGCGGAGTCCCGTCACACAAATTCAATGATTTGTTGCCTACAAAATTTTCTATACGATCTACAGAGGGACAATTGCCTATGTGATTGCAATGTCAACTTTAGAAAGTTCATGTAATCATATCCACAGCAATCAAGAGGACTGACTGTTAGGTAGAACACTCTGGCTTCTTGCTACCTCTAAAGATTACATGTCCTCTAGGCAATTTCTTTCCAAATGCTATTTATACTCTTGCGACAACAACGAAAGCATCTGATCCTTTGACATTAAAGAATGCAGCCAGTACTACAACAACAATCACCCTACAACTTTCTTTTCAACTAGAGTTATCAATTATCTGAATATGAATAATAGTTTGAATATATTTCAACAAGCCCTGTACTTATTCAGAAGATGGATGTGAGTCCATGCATAGATGAACCAATTTTCTTTGGTATTGCCCAAAGTATTCATCAACTGCAATCACATCTTCATTCACAGGATCTAAAGCCTGCAAGTTTAGTATCTTATCATTAACCGATGAACTTGAGTCATCATCATCCGTAATACTTATGTCAGAAACAATCTCTGCACGGATTTCACGGCATGCAAGGATAAACATTGCGGCTGTATCAGGTAGCTGAGCCTCGCGAAGAGCTGCCAATGCCTCTTGTAGTGCACCAGCGGCAACATACAAAATCAGAGCCCTGCATTGGATCCTTTGAGTTAAAATGGAGTGAATAGTGGTAGAGCTTTTTTTTATAAAAAAAAACTAGTGGTACCTCCAGATATTATGTTCACTGTGAAGGACATGTCCAGCCCATCTTTGCAACACTCTGCAAGAATACAAAATGTAGGAAGATCTCTTAGTCAAGATTGCATACGATTTAAATAACCTTTTCACTCATACAAGAGACAAGGAAAATCATTTCAAAATTACATAGAATACAAAATGGTTCAACAAAATTGGTTACTTGTATTATGTCGTTAACAAAAAGGGGAAACTCGGATTATCCATAAAAATAGACAACCGTATAGTAAGTTAGAGACAATGATATCTGAAATACTAGCTAGTAGGATTTATTTTTTTGTACATTCAGACAGAGACCATATGTCATTTTTCAAATGGCAGATGGGGTTATGACATGAAATGAATGTTACATTCATTCCCAATCATAGATTTTAAAAAATTTAGTTAATATGAACAAAATATCTGTTATCGAGAAACAATGAACCTTGCATAATCTGCTCCCTTTAAGTGAGTGGCAGCTAAGGTTGCAGCATCATCCCAACATCCAGCATCTTGTAGCTGCAGAAGATATGACAATACATTTCTCTAAGAAAATCAATCATATTATATTGATGGCATTTCTGTCAACTTTTTAAAATTTGGAAAAGCAAATAAAGTGTTCAGAAAATTTTCACAAAACATCCCGAAAGTTTCTTAATTGAACATGCCCTTAAAAAGCATTTCTATGCTGCCAATAAGGAAGGCCATTTTACACTCAGCATGTTGACATACATCAATCTGAAGTACAAGGAATCATTTGTACCTAGTTAGAGAGACTTACTCTAATTGTCCCCTGGAATACCTCAGTTGTTTGGCTCTAGTACTCTAAATTGGAAGTTTCAATAGTTCAATGTTGGTAGGGTACAATTTATGACAAGAAATGGATTGCCTCCAGTTGTGTGGCCCAATTTCTGATGAAACGTAATAAAAAACTTCTAAGAGTGTTTTTTAATCTTTAATATGTGTGTAACCTCTTCTAGTAGCTTCTGCCACTAAGATCAAAATTAAATTAAGGTCGGAATGCTCCGGTTGAAGATATTTTAGACACTGCCTTTGGAGTTGATTCTCAAGAGACTATCGGTCCAAAAATAGTAGAGAATATAGAGCAAGCAAGACTCGTAAGGTTGGATATTAACTATTAAACAAACAAAAAACCCTTTATTAATGCAATAGTCAGAAAAGGGACTGCTTAAAAAAAATAGAAATTTCACTTCCATAACATTAAACTTTTTTTCCTTCTTATTTAATGTTTGGTAAATATACTTAATTGTGGACCTAGTTCTCAGCTAAATGGAGAAAACAAAAATTTCCTTGACATAATTTGAACTCCAAAATTACCAAGAAATCATCAAACACGGGGCTCTTGTTTACAACTTTATAAGATTAACAAACTGTAACCAGTCGAGGGAACTTTAAAGTTGTTTGCATCCGGTTGGATATGTTCATAAATGCACCCTAACCTGAGAACACGCTTCTTGATATCTTCCAACTGCACACAGAAGATGAGTGCCAGAGAGTGACCTGTCAGCTCTCACCATGTTGGCTGCAACAACCTAATAAATATATCTCATTAATACATGAAATATATTTTTGTACACCAACCATAATTTGTATTTTGATTCCCAACACACGCATGTGTGTCCAAGTTAAACTCACCTTCACTGCAAGCTCATGAAGAGATCTTGAAACAGCAGAAGAGAGAGCTACTGCGCGAAGTGCATTGACATAGAAGTAAGAACTCTCTGGAGGTGTAGAAAGCAATAAACTAACAGCAGCTTCTAGATTTCCAACCGATACAAGTCTGATAGCAGCAAATTCAAAAGGAATTGCAAGTGACTATAAAACTAGAACAGTAATAATTCCCCCAAAGTATTAAAAGAAAAAAAAAATCATAATGGTTTCTGCCAAACAAGTGTGAGACCTAATACAATGACTAGCACATTATAATTTCAATTAGTACAACACTTAAAAGATTGATGGATTTGTATTATTACTACTGAGTTTCACAAAGGGTTTGAGCTGCATATCTTCTAAAAGCTAAAGAAGTCAAGCAAAGCCATATAATATCAACAAAATGATAGAAGAAATGATACATTTACTTACTCATGTACACGTTTCTGAATAGCCTCTTCACCTTCTAATTTTTCATGCCAAGAAATTCGCTCGCTAGCACTTTTCCACAACTCTTCTTGGTCAAAAGCCATCAACCTTTGTTGACCTTGACTCTGCTAACCCAAATGAAAAAACTCACTGATTAGAATTTGAAACTCTACATTAACAACAATTCTTTAGAGAACAATTGGAATGTGCGACACCAAAAATAAATCTTACCGATGCATCACTCCCCATTTCTTCTGTTGGTTTTCCCTTTGATGATATCCTAGACAGTAAAGATGTTTCATCAACCACAGAGACAGACCCTGTCGTGGGTTCTTTTGATGGTGGCTTTGTTGATAACTTATTAATCAAATGTTTAAGCGCTTGAGGTAGCTGTAGCCAAAACAGAGCTTCTGACGATTCACCAAATACTGTAGCTGCAAAAGCAAACCTTGCAGCACAACCTTTATCCACAATACTAGCATACAACTTGGCTCTCTCATCGTCAAGCATGCAACCTTAAAAATGTAAATATTGGTAGAGTTGTTAGCACCACTAGTATAAATCTCAAGTGAAAAATTTCTCATAATCAAAACCCTGCATAAGAAAACAAAAACCTTCTTTTCGATATGGTTCCAATACTTTTAGAAGCATCTCTGGCACCACAGCGTCTCCAAGAAGTGGTATGCTGATCATGTATGTGCGAAGATCCCCCGTCGGTGAAGGAGCTCCTGGAATTAAGTGAGGCCTTTTCTTTATGGTTGTACTACAAGTATTAAACCAAGAAGGTTTAACGCCCAATTGCAAAATCATTTGCAGTGCCTGCAGATATTTAATGAAACATTAAAAATAAATAAAGAGCTGAATATAAAAATCATTAGCAAATACTCCCTTCATCTAATTATAAGTAACAAGTTAAGAATATTTGTGCGTTTTAAATTTTTTGTAACTTCAGAATATCAAGACAATATTTTTCTTTTCATGATACCCTCATTTATTTAAATACTCTATGAGCATGTTCGTTTTAGCTTTAAAAAAATAGATTTTTTCTTTGTATTTTCAAAAATGGATTTTATAAAACCGTTTTTCAAAATATTACAAATCTTATATTCGTTTTTTCTAAATTGAAAAGACTAATTTTGACATCCTATAACATAAACATACATTATTGAAGATCAAAACATAGTCGAAATCGCAACGTTTTTAAAAAGTTGTATCTCAAAAAAGATTTTTATGAAAAGCTATTTGAAATAGCTTCAAAATTAAGTGATTTTTGAACATTTTGATATCTAAAATAACATTTTAAAAATAATTATTCAAACCAAATTTTCATTTGAAGCTTTTATAAAAAGTTTCTTCGTAAATTTATTTTTAAACAAAATTATATAAAATACTATAAAAATCATTTTAAAAAATGGCAAAAACAAACAGACCCGATGTCTATCCACAAACTACTCCACAACTACTACTTTCAATTTAATTACTCCAATTAATGTGATGTTTTACTATTTCAAAAGGTATTTTAGTCTTAGTCTTAACAAACTATTTTATTAAAGAAATTAGCATAACTAATCATTTACTTAAAAAGTCTACATTACCTTAAACAACACTTATAATGAGATAGAGGGAATAACAAAATTTGTACAAGTGTTTCAAAAAAGGGAAAACAAAGTGGATTGTGCTCAACATAAACTAAAGAGTGAAACCTAAACCTGACTTGCATTTCATCATAATGGAAAGAGAAAAAATCAATTCATTTTCCCAGTAAAAAGCTTGTTTAAGATCAAACAAAAACAGATGACAAATTCAAATAACTCGGGCTCCACAAAATCATTCTATTTCATTTATTTTAAATATTCATGTTACTTACATCGGCTATCACTCAAAATCTATGGTTAACGATTGCAGATATTCACTGTGAGAGTTGATTATATGTACTTTCCAGTTGTATCAAATTGAGGCAATGACACAACAGGTTTTTGACAAACCTCGATACAGAGGTTGTGGCATTATAGATTTTATATGGCGGACCATGACAGCAGTTTTGGTAGGTTGAACAGCAGGAAAAGGGTGCCATGACCCAACCGAAAACCAATTTGACCCGTAAAAAACCCTAAAAGACATACACTGTCAACAAGCAGTAGCATCATGAAAGCCTCAAACTTCTATCTCATTTAAACTAACCTCTTTCCTCTCTTCATTTTCTTAAAAAAATCACTT